AAATTAATGGCGGACGAAAATAAATCGTAAAATTTTGGCCCTTTCCTTTCGAATATCAGAAAGATATTCCAGTGGGTGGTTCTTAATGTATCCTAGATTATTTCAGCAAAGTTCCAGCTCGAATGAAAGAGTTTTAATTTTGGAGCGATTTTCGTCCAAGTGGCCCTTTAAGCTTCGTTGTCATGGAGACGGAACAGGGAAACACCCGGAATAATCTCGCCACTTTTTTTGATTGACACTTCCCTGCCCTATTGCCATATAAGGATAGGGTCGGGTGCAGCTGCCTCGGTCTCATATTTATGAATCTAATTTGGGTCCCTCCTCTTTACTGCAGCAACATGGCTGTCGAGTGAGACGCTCTCATTCCTCATCTTTAAACACCTCAAACAATCCTCTAAAACTCTCAAAATGCTCCGTGCTTCTGCAGACCCTTACCTTGTGCTTCGGTTTCAAAATTTCTGCGGGTTAAAAGAAAAAAAAGGAGAGGAAATACCCGGTGAGAAGGACGAGAAGGACGAGAACGGCGACCTCTCTCCCGCCAAATACAAGAACGGCCATGTTTCAAACGGATTTGTCAATGGATATGCTAAGAATGGACTCATAAAAAATGGCCACTGGAAGCCTGCGAGTGAAGAAAAGCTGCTAGACAGCCGAAAAATGGACTCCCCGAGGCTTCAGGACTACGAATACAACCCTCTATGGCATGCAGTCTTCACCTTCGGCTCCACTCTGGGCAACGAGATTTTCTACATAACCTTTTTTCCCTTTCTGTTTTGGAATATTGACGAGTATGTTGCTCGTAGAATGGTGTTTTTGTGGGCTTTATTCATGTACTGTGGACAAGCTGCTAAGGATATTATTCAGTGGCCTAGACCACCAAGTCCTCCTGTCATTTCTGTTGAGAAGCGATACCAATGGGAGTATGGAATGCCTTCAACTCATGCAATGGTTGGCGCTCTTATACCATTCTGTTTGGTTTATTATAGCTACGATCGTTATGAGGTAGTGTTTTCTTTCCTATCACACCTACAAATATACCTTTATTTTTAACCCCGCCATTATAAAGTCAAAATCAATTCACTGTCCCTCATACGTGCAGTAATTCATTTATTCCACCATTAATAACGGAAACTGTCCGATGACTAAACTTTATAAACTTTAAAAAATTATTTGCTCAAAAATCAAAAAAACAGGAAAAATTACCTGCCAGAACATAGCTATATCCCTAGTGTTAGAAGATATCATGTTTTCAGCATATCAATTTTCCTAAGCAAAACGAAAATTTAAGATGTATCTCATGTGACGTTTTGAATATTAATTCAATTATTGTCCAATTACATAACTTACACATTACATGTGTTTAAAACAATAGACGTCTTCAGAGCCGTATGAAAATCCAGAATTTTAGTACAAATTTGCTGTATGGGTTGTTAGATCTCCATTACATGTTATCTATACCATGGGATTTGATATATGAGATGGCTTGATCTGGATGTCTCTGACAATATATATGTTTGGTGTGCTGTTTCATGCTCTGCAGTTACATGTTTGTTCTAATCATTATGCTGTCCAATGACAAATCCTTAGGCATGTCACTACCCATATACCATTATGCCTAACTCAGTGTTTGATATTTTATTACATAATTTGCGTTAAATGTCCAAATGGTACTGTGATGTTTAAGGGTTTTCAGTAAATCTATGATTCTGTTATGGAAAGGAAATTATAACAAAAAATAAGAGCTCATTCATTGCAGGGGTTTGTAGCAGGGTTCAATGAAATGGATCTTTGCTTTTATATACAGTATTTGAAGTTAGTACGAAGTCTGTTCTATACTGATTTATTCCACCTTGTTTTGCAGTATCCTCTTCCCCTGGGTATTGCTTTCTTCACATGTTGGTGTCTTTTAGTGTGCAGCAGCAGGCTATACATGGGCATGCATAACTTACAGGTAAGTACAGAATGCAGATGGCCTTTCAGGGTTTTCATTAAAGGTCAGAGATCTGAGAAAGCTCCCGAAAAAGCAAACTTCTCTGGCTTAAAC